CATTTCAAATGGCCACTTCGACTTGGGATCCTTCCCTTGTAAGAAGGGGAGTGACTAACCTCGAACCTCGAAAGATAGGCATGCAGGGGAAAGCAACCATCTGATCATACATCTTTAAAGTTCGCTCCTACAATGCACGCAACACGCAAAGGGTGTGGGAGATGCCGTACTGTGAGGTTTCACAGCTGATCAGTTTGAACTGTCTGTCTGTCTTCTAAGACAGCCACAGATTCTTCACCGCCGAATTAGGGACCAGTCAATGGCGACTACGGAGTCGTAAGTGGGAATCCTTTACAAAAGGTCTTATATTTGGGATTTTATGCCAGCTTGGGTGGTAGCAAAAAGGAAGGAACAGGATCCTAAAGCACTACAGAGTATTCCTTGCATGTCCCCTCCGGATGTGAAAATGAAAGCAAGCCGTGTCGAGACAGCAACAGGGCTTCCACAATGCCGAAATTGTGGGAGCGAGAGGGTCTCTTCTACCATCTATGGGGGCCACTGAGTACTCCTAAGGGAAGAACTCAGTAACCATCTTTGTTCCAGAAATAAAAAGCAAAAATTCGGAGGAGTCACGAAATGTAGAACATTCAAAAGTTGTGGAAGTAGTTTGTACGAGAGCACGGCGAAGGGAAATGTATAGAATGATATTTGTACGAATTTTGGTTGTGCGCCTAGGTTCAAAGTGCCAACAACGGTAAGCAGAAAAGATTATAAAAACTGCTTTCCTCCATCTCTACGGTTTAGTCTCGGACTATCAGCTGTATGGATTTTTAACAGATATGCTCCACTGGTAATGATGAAGCCGTTAGAAAACGGTCCTTCCCGGGTGTGGTACAATGCAATGCAAAACATTTTTGAGCCTTTATTACGACCTGCCTGACCGTAGTTGGACGGTAGTCAATCCGTCAGGACCGCAGGTACATGGCTTGTGCTGATTCTCAGAAACCATTTTTGAGATGAACTGTGCCTCAGTACTTTTTTCTTTTTCTAAGGTGTGCCTATGCAAATATCTCATTGTGATTCAACTATGTAGTTTCAAAAGTGAATGATATTTTCATTCCAGGGGATTATGTTATTTATTGCTCTTAATCATTGGCGTTCAATCCCAACCAAGACCTCTTTTTTTGGATTTTATAGACCCTTCAAACCACTTCATTTTCCAGATAACAGTGTAATGTAAAGTGCATTATCAAGAACGTAGTCAAGATTCAATGTCGACACGACCGTATCCAACCGATTGTCAAGGTATTCCATGAGGTTAGGTTCATTTGAAAATGAGAACGGCGTACAGGAAAGAACGACGTTAACCTGAATGAACATCTTTACAAACTTTTCTCTATAAAAATTGACATTTTTTCTTAAGACACATAAGAAACATGACCCACACAATTACTGATATGCACATTAAGACGCTGCTTACCATGGTACGCATATTGAACAGCACACATGTTTTGAAAGTTGATCCAAACAGCTTGAGCACCTGCAATGAAATAAGTGTAGAGAACGGGACAATGTTTTTGGCATCAACCAGACCATTTCTGGCATTATCCACGTATTCGACTTCCATTCAAAATCGTACTGGTCTTTGAATGTGTATGTGGTCTAAGAAATGATTTATGACTCCTGTAAGGGTGATTATTTTTCCCTTCCCAAACAAGCTTTGCATCTGTTAGCAAACTCAAAGGGATAGAAGGTCTGATTGATCTGGGCGGGAGGGGTGCGCTTCGTTGCGCGTGTCCGTCGAAACTAGGTCACGCCGCAGCCGTCGCACGCGGCGAGTCGGCCCGCGATATTTGACAGACGTCGCAATTGTCACTGG